GGGGGGGGAGGAGTGGAGAGAACAATTTGGATGATGTTTTTAGACAAGGGAAAAGTGGTAGATGGACAGTTTTTTTTCTAAATACAAGCTTCTTTTGAATGGCATACCTGTAGGCCCTGCACGACCTTTCTTTAGCCTGTCAAAACATCTCCTGGGTAGTTGACTTCCTCCAGATGACAATAAAGGAGAGCGCCCACTCCATGTGAAGGATCGTTTAATAATTTGCTTTTAAAAAATGGTAATGTACTCACAAGAGAAAAGTGACACAAGCGTATTCAATGGTTCCCCCAGAGGGTTCTGAGGAAGGGGACATGCCCCAGAAATGCGTTAACCCTGCCACTCGCTGCTGGAAGACGACTTCGGTCGTGAGCAGTAATTCAGTAGCTCACCCTGCTACCATGTCCCAGCAGTTACTAGGTAGCTCGGCTTCTCCCTGCTCCACCTCCCAGCAGTGATTTAGCAGCTCAGCTCACCCTGCTACCATGTTCCAGCAGTTACTCGGTAGCTCGGCTTATCCCTGCTCCACCTCCCAGCAGTGATTTAGCAGCACAGCTCACCCTGCTACCATGTTCCAGCAGTTACTAGGTAGCTCTGCTTCTCCCTGCTCCACCTCCCAGCAGTGAGTCAGCAGCCTTGCATTCTCAGAATCTCTAATATAAACACAGAGCAGGAGCTTTAGGAGGGGAGCATTTGGCTGTTACAGCGCTCGCTTCAGCCTGTCTCTTCCTCAGCTCCACACGACCTTAGCAGAATGGAAGACAGGACTGCCAACCAGTTGTGGATCGGGTGGGTATACCTGTGTTATTTTTGCACCTAGACCAAAATAAGCACTTAATCCTTGCAGTAAGGGGGAGCCCCCATTGCAAGGGTTAATAAAAGGTTTGCCCAGAGTTCTTCTTTAAGGATTAATTACCCCACAGTGCCTGCATTTACACAGTCCTTTAAAGCTCATCTACTGCTTGTTGAGAATATATAAATAATTGAAAGTCTATAGTCTGGCCACAGGTTCACTTTAAATCTGGAAATTGTCTAGTTGCTATTTGCAACATCACCATTTTCTTTTGTAATTGCTTTCCAAAATGTGGCTTTCTATTATCCTCAGATGACTTTGCTGAATCTGTGGCATTACTGAACTCTTTATAAAAAACAAAACCTGTAGATGTAATATGAAGTTCTGAGAGGATGCCAGTCGGTTATATCACCTGGCGGCTTCCTATACGATTTGAAATGTTACTGTTTCGGTGGGATTTTCCATTTAGTTCATTGGAAAATTCAAAGGGAAGTATAACCACGTTGCTTGGCCTAAGAGGTAGCAGGGCTAGATGAAATTGAGATTTTGAGGGTGTGAGAGGGAGGAGCTTCCCTACTTAGAAAAATAATATTATTAAAAAGCCTGTAGGTGGTTAAGCCAGAGTGCATCATTCTCAGTGGGTCATTATAGCAATACATAAGCTTAGACCTTACTCTCTATCCCCATCTCTTCCCCTCTTTCTTAATTCATTGCATTTCTGATATTTATTTTTT